ACAAATGTCCAGTCATTGTATTTACACACAAAACTAACAGAATGTTGTGGCCAACGATACTTCAATAAAAAAAGAAAGAAAATGGAATTAATCTTTCTTATTAAACTTTGAGCAATTGACTTGAGGGGGGAAAACTTCTCTCTGGGACCTCTACGTTCCAGAAGCTGTATACTTCACAATCTCATTGACTGTGAAAAGTCTGAACTCACAATAGCTTTTTGAAAGAGGTATACGGGGACACCTGGGTGGCTCAGTCAGTTAAGCATCTGACTGTTGGTTTTGGCTCAGGTCATGATCACAGGGCATGGGATAGAGCCCCACATTGGGCTCTGAGCTGAGTGTGGAGCCTGCTTGAGATTCTCTCTCTCCCTCTCCCTCTGCCTCTCCCCCTGCTCTCTCAAATAAATAGATAAATCTTAAAAAAAAAAAAAGGGATATGTTCATTTGTTCCATCATTCATTTATCCATGCGTTCATTCAACAAATATTTATCGAGTACCTACTGTGTACCAGGTACCATCCTGAGCACTGGGAACACACAATGAAGAAAAAAGATTTAACCTGAGCCCTATGGAGCTTAAAAATCTATTATCTATTACCTAAAATCTATTATCTAATCTTAAAAATCCATCATTTTGCAGATGAGGAAAATGAGGCAAGAGATGGGAAGGGGCTTGCCCAGAGGAAAGAGCAGAGCCATGGTTTGAACTGACCTGACTGATTCATGAGCAGGTGGGTTTCCACAGCATCCCATTGTCCCCTTAGAAGGAGGAGTCAGACAGGCAGGGATCTGAATCCTGTTTTTGCTTGGAAAATCCTGGATTTGCTGGTGAATCACATGCCTCTCTGAGCTGAGTCTCAATTCTCTCACTGTGAAGTAGGGTAAGGGTTGCCTGGACCCTGAAGTCCCAAAAGGAGGACTTCAACGGAGGTCCAGACTTTGGGTCCAGAGTGAGGAGGGAGCTGGAGACCTAGACAGTGGGTCTTGGGAGAGGAAGGGACTGGATTCCTGGGTGTGAAGGAAGAGAGTCTCTGGCGCCAGGAATCATGGGCTCAAAAGGGAGAAGATGCTTAGGAGCTTGTTCTCTTGGGCCACTGAGGAGCCCAAATATCCCAAGTCTGTTAAGAAGATTATAGAAAATCCTGTGCAATGAAAGATTTCATAACGTGGTGCTCTCCATGGGACACCTGGGTGGCTCAGTCAGTTAAGGGTCTGCCTTCAGCTCAGGTCATGATCCCAGGGTCCTGAGATTGAGTCCTGAGTTGGGAACCCTGCTCAGCGAGGAGTCTCCTTCCCTCTCTCCCTCTGTTTCTCCCCCCATGCTCTCTCTCTCACTCTCTCTCAAATAAATAAAATCTTAAAAAACAAAACAAAACAAAACAAAACATGGTACTCTCCACCGTGAAGGAGGCATGCATTCTTTTTTTTTTTTTTTTTTTTTAAGCTGGATGTGGAGCCCAAGTCGGGGCCTGAACTCAGGACCTTGAGATCAAGACCTGAACCAAGATCGAGACCTGAACTCAACCGATGGAGCCACCCAGGCACCCCAAGGAGGCATGCATCCTTTACCCACTCATTCACCCATCCATTTTTTGGAAACCTGGTTTAACAATCTGCTATTTTGCTTTCTTTCCCCCACCAGTCCTGTTAATATTATGGCCTTCCAGGTTTCCAGCATGGGCCACCTGTGAATCTCAACCTCACAATCACTGTCCCTTCTCTATCTCCTTCTGGAGGCAAGGCTTTGCCAATGGCTTGAGGTACACTGGGCCAGCCAGCTCCTCCTCTCCCTCCTACTACCTCGGGGGCTGGTGACGGTGCCCCAGCCCGAGATGGTGCACTTCTGGCCAACTTCAGGGCAGTGATCCGCCAGGTTGATGGGCTTCACTTTGGGCCCCAGGGATGCCCGACCACGCAGTCGGATGAGCATGAGATCATGGCTGTGGTCCTCACTGCTGCGGTTGTAGCAGGGGTGTGGGATGGACTGGGCCACAGCCATTTCTTGCTCTGAACTGTCCTTATTCTTCAGGCTGTGATCCCCCAGGCGTACTGTGAACTTCCTGTAATGGTGGAGAGTAATTTGGGACCCAGGCAGGAGTCTGGGAACCCAGCCCCCTCCTCCCTCAGCCCTCCTCTTTCAGAGGCTCAGTCTCCAGCTCTCTTCTTTTCCCCTTTCCCCAGGCCCCAGCCCACCTCTGCCCCAGGCATCCACTCACTGTTTTTTACAGTGGGCTGCTGTAAGGACCCACTTGTCATCGATGAGGACACCCCCGCACAGCAGCCGGATGCCCTGGTACAAGGCTGTCTGCCAAGGCTGCGAATGGGCCTCACATTCCTGGCCGCCTAGCACCTTGGACCCCTGTGCCCTCACGTGTCCTGCAGCAGGAGGGAGAGAGTTTGGATTGTCACCCCCTGGGGCAGTGCAGAGGCCAGGAAAACCCACTGTGGGTTCAAAATGACATACGGCACATTCTCTGCCTGCCTCCTCACATGTCCACACTGGGAATGTGAGGCCCCCAGCTTGCGCAGGCTGCCACACAAATGCACACGTCCACTCACTGAAACCCATGAGTCACACTGAGTCACACACCCGAGCATGCTTCCACATGTTCCCACATGCATCCACATGCCCTGTATACTATGCATATCTGCACCCCTCAGCAAGGAGCCCTGCCAGCTTGGTGTACTCATGCAACATGCAGCATAATCTGACACACTCCTACCCACTGCTATGTGTGTATGCCTCCATCCACCCTCAGGAAACCTCAAAGAAGTTCCCACATGTGATCACATGTTTCACATCCCCCCCGCATGCTATCACAAGCGCCTACCACGGCATTCCCACGGGCTCCCACCAGGCACCCCTCACCTGCCCAGGCTTCCAACAGCAAGAACAGGAACATCCAGGTCCAGACTGCAGCAGGTGAGGGATGTCCCATGGTGGGGTCTGGGAGATGGAGAAGGCAGGGCTGAGAAATGAAGAGGGAGGAGCCCTGAATCCTAGGAGAAACTTGAAATAAGGGGGCAGAGCATCCGGAACCATTCTTCTGGGTCTTGCTGGAGGGGGACCCCCTGGGGACCCACCTTCTTAGGTCTGAGGAAGAAGGGGGCAGACCCCAGATTTCTGAATCTGAGGAGAGGAGGTGGAGGCTGGATTCCTACATTCCCAGGAATGGGAGAGTTAGAGTCCCGGACTCCTGGATCTGAAGGAAGAGGGAACTTGGAGTTAAGATTCCTAAGTCTTGGGGACGAGGGGGCCAGGGTCCAGATTCCTAAGTCTTGAAGGAGGAAGGGGTCTGAGATTGGGGTCCTGGGCCCTGGGAGAGCACGGGCCCCAGGGCCTGATGCCTGTGTCTGAGAACTTTGGCATCTCACCTTGCAGAATCCAGGGGCGGGGTCACCGACTGATTCAGACCCAGAGGAAGAGGCCCCAAAACTTCAGCTCTGTCTGCCTGGTACCAGGTTCTGGAGGCTTTTAACTGGGAATCCCCGCCTTCCGCTCCGCCTCCTCCCGTTCTGGAGCCCATGGAGCATCAGGGAACTGGAACCCTGTGTATGAGTGAGGAGGGGCTGAGGGGCTGAAAGGGAAACGGCGGGGGGGGGGGGGCCTAGGATCTGGAACTCCTCAGGCTTGGAAGAGAAGGACGTCAGTGCTGTGACTTCTGGGGCCAGACACCTGGACAACTGGCTCCGAGGGAGGGGGCTGGGGACCTGGACTCAGGGTCCAGGGAAGATAGGGATTGGGGGTCTGAACTCCCGAGTCTGAGGGAGGAGGGAGCTGGAGCCCCGGAATCCTGGGTCTGAGAGAGGAGGGGGCTGGGGGCCTGAACTCTGGGTCTGGAGGAGGGGGCTGGGATTCCAGACTGTAGGTCTGAGGGAATAGGAACTGGGGGCCCAGACCCCTGAATTGAGGGAAGGGAGGTTGTGTCTGGACTCCTGGACCTGGGAGGGGAAGGAATGGGGTTCTGGACTCCTGAGTCTGACGGTGGAGGGGGATGGGGACCCGAACTTTTGGGTCGGGGGCGGGGGGACTGGCCTGAAGTTTTAGTTTGAGGGAGAAGGGGGTTAAGGGCTGAATTCTTAAGTCTTTTTAGGAGTGACTTGGAGCCTGGGTTCTTGTGGGAGAAGGGGGCTGCTGCCACTAACTGGAAATGGAAGAAAGATGAGTCTTCTGAGGGCGGATCGGGCCCCGCCCGCTGCCCGGGAGAGGTCCGGGATCTGGGAAGGCAGGTTTGGGAGGCACCGTGACCTGGTTTCCCCTTCCCCTGGCGGCGACGGGACCAGCCCAAGCAGAGCCCAGCGGCCTTGCTGCAATAGGGCTGATGGAGACAGACTTCAGGTAGGTCCTACTAGGCGGTTAAGGGGTAATTGCTGTACGGTGGCGGTTCCCTGTCTGCCCACCGCCGCCCACACTTGGCCCTTCCTTCATCCCACAACGCAGGCAGACGGACGGCGCGGCTCCGCGCGTTTATTGTAAAGCCATCCATTGAATCTGAATGAATTGAGACCCTCCCCCAACTTCTCTCAGTCGGGTGTCCGCCAGGATTCAAACGCCCAGGGGCTCGGGCACGAGGGGCGGAGCCCGACCCTGCCCGGGTGGCTGGTAGGGGAAGCTACAGCTCCCCTGGCGTCACGGGGGCGGGCTCTCCCACGGAGGAGGCGGGGTTACAAGGGGTGGGGCCCGGAGGGGAATTCTCATTGGGCAGAGTTCCGAGGGCGGGAGCTGTCGGCTGGAGGTGCTTCTGGAGCCGAGCCACAGATGAAGCTGTTCCACGGGGTTGATGCCCGCTCTGGTGACATCACGGAGACGGGGCTACGGGGGCGGAGGTGTCTCCCCGCTGCTTTCCGATAGGGCGAGCCCTGAGGGCGCGGAGCCTGAAGATCCGGAAGGTGTCTCCGGGCCGCTGAGGCCACGCGCCGAGATCTCTGAGGCCGGAGCCCTGCAGTTCCCCTCTACCCTACGCCCACCCTCCTCTCTTGGTCGCCCAAGGCATGAGGGCTCAGTTGTCCTCCATGGTCTTTCGGATCCAGTCCACGTAGTGGCACACGCTGGTGTACACGGCAGGGCGCCGGGGTCTGGAGCAGGGCTCGGCACCCCCAGACACCACACCCGCCAGGGTCCCGTCGCAAACCAGGGGGCCCCCAGAGTCACCCTGTGCGCGGCAGAAGAGCAAAGAAACTGTTAAGCAGGTGTATTCATATTACACTGGCCACTTCCTCTCAGGAAGCCCCCAGTTTCCTCTTCTCACGACACCTTGGTGTCCAGGCAGCCGGTCCCTCCTCCCTCAAACCCAGGAATAAGCGCTCATAGCCCTCACCTCATCCCTGCACTTAGCACTCTGGGATCCCAGGCCCCTCGTCCCCCAGGACTTAAAGTCTGTACTCCCAGTCCTCTCCCCCTTTAGGTTCTGGAGTCGGGACCTCCAGTCCCCTTTACATCCAGGAATCCTGGCCTTGGTCCCATCCTCTCCCAGGACCCAAGTGTCCGGGATCCCTCCTTGCTTTCATCCAGGAATTCTGGGGCCCCCAACTCCCTAATTCCCTAGGACCCAGGAATCCGGCAGGATATCCATTCCCCTCCTCCCCAGAGTAGGTCTCACCTGGCAGGAGCCCCGGCCCCCCTCCCAGAGGCCGGCACAGAGCATACTGTCTGAGATGTGGCCTGGATATGCCCGATGGCACAGTTTGTGATCCAGGATGCTGATGTTGGCACACTGTAGCGTGAGTGGGTACTGCACTGTTGGCAAAAGAGATCCACCCGTAGAGGATCAGCAGCTGTGCCTATCACATTCAGCAGCCCCTCCACCCAGACCCTTCCCTAAGGAGGACCCACAGAACCACAGCAGAAGACTCTCAAAGATAGAAACAAGAGACAGTGACAGAATCATAATGTGAAAGAGAAACAGATGTTTGAGGAGAGGGAGAGGGCCAAAGAGAGAGAGACAGAGAAACAGAAAGATGCAGGGAGCCAAGAGCCAAGAAGAGATACATACATGACACACAGAGAAAAATAGAGACCATGGCAGGAGATAGACCTCTTAAGGGGAAAGAGATTCTCAGAGGAAGCAATGAAGAAAAAGAAAAAAACAGGCCCAGAGATGCCAAGGGAGAAGGCAGTGAGAAAGGGAGGAAACATTTACGGTCATTGACAGAGACAAAGACATAAGAGATACTAGACCCAGACAGGGAGACACAGCGTGTAGAATATAGATATGGATGTAGATATGCATATATCCACGTATATAACCTAGGGGCGCAGATTCAGATGGGCTTGACAGGAAACAGGAAGTGGGAGGAGCGGACTATGCAAAAACAACAACCAGTAGGAGGCACTGTAGAGGCCCAGAAAACCCGCATCTGATCTGAAGGCAGATTCTGCCCAATGGTCACTATTTGGGGAATGTGGGTCCCGCGTTGCCAGCTTTTTGGATTTTCCCAGCAAATGCAGAAATTTGGCTTTTATGTAAAAATCTCTCAAGCTCAGACTATTTTTTCAAGGCATTTTGAAAACCAAGACTGATGTGGGAGGCTAAATGTGGCTAATGGGTGGCTGATTTGTGACTCTGAGAGACCTAGGCCTCATTTCAATTCCATGAAGTGTATATTTTCATATTTAAACATCTCTGAAATCAGGGCGTGTTTTCCAGCAAATGATGTCATACAAGCATTCACGGGAACTTTGTTCCCCCTGTTCTTAGTGGTTGTAAATAATGATACATCTTGTAATTTATAGCATCTTAGATTTTTTCCTTATCTATCATCTATCTATCTATCTATCTATCTATCTATCTATCTATCTATCTATCATCAAGAGATGAAAAGGCAGAGACAGAGAAATAGGGGGAATTCAGACCCTCAGCATGAGACACAAGGAATTGAGTTGTGGGCAAGGCTATATACCCTTAGGACTGGACACGGCCCCCCAGCCTGAGATGAGGCACTGGGTGCCTGGGGAGACACAGGTCTGGCTGAGGTTGAGGGGCTGCACAGCAGGTCCCAGGTATGCCTTCCTGGGCAGACGGATCAGCATGATGTCATCATTGTGGTCATGAGCCCTGAGGTCCTTGTTGAACCCAGGGTGGGGGAAGAAGTCTGTGGCCCGGAACAGTTGCTCTGGGCCCTCCCATCGCCAGAGGTGGTGCTCCCCAAGGCGGACCCACAGATACCTGTTGGGACAGGCCTCAGAGGTCAAGGTGGGTGTCCACCAGGGTGATATGTGCTCCACAAGCCACACACTCTCTCTGGGCCCCCATCATTTCTGTATGACCCAGAGTGCTGTGTGATTTTAAGCAAGGCCCACACCCTCTCTGGGCCCCAGCTTCTCACTCCATCTCTTTGTCTGCCTCTACCTTTGTAGCTCTCCCCTAAAAGCTCACACCCCTTCCTAGTCCCATACCAAGTAAGCCACCTTCCTGCCCCACCTGGAGCCTTCATGGTGACCTGGGTCCCCTGGAACTGTGTAGGCACATGGGGGCTCCACCTACCACAGAACAACATCCCCACCTCCTGCCCCCACAGGTCTGGTGGCTTCTGTGGGGAGTGGCTCTGTGTGTGTGTGTTGTGTGTTGTGTGTGTGTGTATGTGCATGGAGGGGGATGGGAAATGGAAAATCCCCAAGTTGGGGGTCAGCCATGGCCTTAGGCTTTTCCTGTCAGCCAGATACCTTCACCTTCAATGCATGTCTTCCTGAGGCCTGACCTCAAACTCTCAGTCCACTTGTTCTGCTCTGGGTCCCCTGCCCTGGACAGCTGGGGACTCTCTGGGGATGTACATGTCCATTCCTTGGCCTCTGACCTCTGACCTTAGGAACCAGGCTGATGACTGAGAATTCAGGGTTTAATGAGTATGAGACATTATCTCTATCTCTGTCACCTCATTGCCTGGGCTCCGTGTCTGGGAAACCAATCTCCCCCAACTCGTCCTCAAGCCTGAATCTTTTCTACCTCCATATCTCTGCCTCTCTCCTTAGTCTTTGGAGGTGAAATCTGAACATTCTTCTCCTAGCCTTAAGTACAGACCTGAGCTGAAAGAGGCCCTATCATGGAGCAATGCATGATGGGAATTTCCCAGACAGCATTCTGTACTTCATTCAGCACCTGTGCTTCATTCCTGGAGGGAAGAATATCAGAAGAAGATGGGCCACCCCTTTCCAGAGGTAATATAGAAATTCTGGATTTCTGCATCAGGTAGATTCTAAGATTCCATTAGATTTCCAGAATCTTCTCACACCCTAGGAATCCACGATTCTAGAATTCTATGTTCTAGAATGTTATGAATCCAATATTCTAACATTCTAGATTTCTCTAGGTCAAAAGTCTGGGGTTTTAAAATTATCTGGATGAAATCAAGGATTTAAAGAGCCTAGAATTCTAGTATTCTGGGACTATAAAATGGATTTCATCAATCTAGAATTCTATAATTCTTTTTTATATATTTTTAAAAGATTTTATTCACTTATTTATTTGTCAGAGAGTTAGAGAGAGGGAGGGAGAGCACAAGCAGGGGGGAGTGGCAGGCAGAGGGAGAAGCAGGCTCCCTGCCGAGCAAGGAGACTGACACGGGACTCAATCCCAGGACCCCGGGATCATGAGCTGAGCAGAAGGCAGACACTCAACCAACTGAGCCACACAGACATTCCTAGAATTCTGTAATTCTATGATTTTAGAAATTTAAGAATCTAAGGTTCAAATAGTTTAAGACTCTAGAATTCTCTCAATTAAAACTTTGGGGATTTTAAGAATCTGGAATGATAGCCTTCTAGGATGTTTAGTTCACCAGATTCTAGACATCTAGAATTCTACTGATTCAAGATTCTAGAACCTGCAAGTCACAGTGTTCTAGAATACTGTGAATCAAAGATTCTAGGACCATGATCTTCTATTTTCAACGAACCTAGCTAGAATACTGTACCTAAGATTCTAAGGTTGTGCTATCCCATACAACTATTGAGCACTTGAAATGTGACTATCCAAATTGAGACATGTCATATGTGTAAAATGCACATCTGATTTCAAAAGTGTAGTATTAAAAAAAAACTAAACTATATCATTCATAAGTATTTAAAAATGGATTGCACATTAAAATAATGGTTTGACCATGAAAGACTCTTGACTCCGGGGAAACAAACAGGGTTGCGGAAAGGAGGGGGTGGGGGGATGGGGTAACTAGGTGATGGGCATTAAGGAGGGCACGTGATCTCATAAGCACTGGGTGATATACGCAACTAATGAATCATTGAACACTACATAAAAAAAAACTAATGTACTATATGTTGGCTTAATTGAATTTAAATTTTAAAAATAATAATAAAAATAAAATAAAATAATGGTTTGAGTGTGTCAAATTAAATCTATTACTAAAACTAATGTTAATCCTTTCTTTTTTACTATTGTAATATGTCTACTAGAAAATTTAAACTTGGGGTGCCTGGGTGGCTCACTCGGTTAAGTGTCTGCCTTCAGCTCAGGTCATGATCCCAGTGTCCTGGGATCAAGTCCCACACCAGGCTCCTTGCTCAGCGGGGAGTCTGCTTCTCCCTCTGCCCCTCCCCCCACTCATACACACTCTCTCTCTCCCAATTAAATAAATAAAATTCTTTTAAAAAAAAGAAAATTTAAACTTAACTATGTGGCTGGAGTTATATACACAGGGCAGGGCTGCTCTAGGCTCCTAAGATTCTACCAGTCAGAGTCTCAATTCTAGAATTCACAGAAACTAATGTAGAATCTCATGGATCTGAGATTTTAGGAGTCCATGATTGGATTTTTCTGGGTCAGAGTCCAGGTTTCTAACAGTTTTGAATTTTAGACCCTAATAATTAGATTATTTGGGACTCTAGAATTTGGAGGGTCAACTCTAATTCTAAGAGTTGAGCTTTGGGGAACAGAAATGAAAGCTAAATCCTTCCAACCACAGCTCCCTCCCTCCTCTACTGAAGTCCTCTTGGCTCCCTCACTTACCTCCAGCTCTCCCCCCACCCCAGTGGCGCCCAGGTCACTCACGGCTTCTGGCAGTGGGCAGCTGTGAGCAGCCAGCGGTCACTGATGAGGGAAGCCCCGCAGAAGAGGTGGGTGAGGTAGAAGAGCCCAGCCTGCCAGGGCTGCGAGTTGGGGCGGCATTCCTCGGCCCCGATGGCTCTGGTGTCTGCCCAACCATGCCCTGGTGCAGGGTGGAGGCAGAGGGGTCAATGACAAGCACCGTGGGAGGGCTGAGGGAGACATGCTAGATGCCTAGCATGAAGGAGCGGAAGCCTGGGAGGTCAAGGGCAAGCTGGCTGGTGGGGCTCCCAGGACCGTGGAGGGGCAGCAGATGGACGGGTGGAGCCTCACCTGCCAGGAGAGAAAGCAGAGCACAGACGAATCCCAGCCTCATGACCTCGGGGTGCCTGGGTCTTGAGCATGCATTCAGGCTCCCGTGCTTCTTGAAGGTAAGCCATGCCATCTCCTTCCTCCTCTCTGGGGCCGCCCCTGTGATTAATCTGGGTTGGGAAATGTCCCAGGGGGAGGGGGAAGCCCTTGGGCCTTGACTGGGGGCCTTGGAAATGGAGGCAATGCAGGGGGACCCCCCCTCCTGAGCTGGATGAGCTGGTGGCCTGCTGAGCCAGGGCTGGGCTGAATGGGGGAGGAGCTCTGGGATATGGAGTCCTCCTGGGATCTCCAGAGAGGGGAACCCTCATTCCCATAATCTCAGGATGCAGGGCTTGGATACAGGATATTCTGTGTTCTGGGGGAGGAAGAGGGAGAGAAAGATGATCCCTAAGGCTGGGTCCTGAAGTGGAAGTGAGTTTATCTTGAATGAAGCTGTGGGGAGCTGGGGCCAGTGTCCTGGGCAGGCAGGAGGGATATATATGCAGGAGGACCACCACATCTCCACCCCACCCCAGAAAGCAGGTGAGGGTTGGGAGAAAGAACAGAGACTCAGTAGGAAGAAGGCAGGCTGGATGGGGCAACGCAGGGAAAGAGAAAGAAAATTAAAAAAGAGAGGGACAGAGATACAGAAGGATCCAGGGTGAGGGAAGGAGAGAAAGGGAGAGACAGACTGAGCAAGGCAGAGACCACAAGAAGCCACACACGTGTGTACCCCCTAAAGAGCCCTCCCTGCCCTGGGCATTTGGGCCCCATCTTGCGAGGACAAAGGCCTCTCCTAGAAGGTTGAGGAAATGTGGGCCTAACTGGATTAACTCACTGTTGTCATAAACTACCGCACCCCCTTCTTCATAACCCTACCACCCAAGACCCACGTGCCCAACCTGCCTGGAACTAAGCACTTTCCTTTTCTCTTAATACCACCAGATCTGGGCCAAGTCCTGAGAACATTGCCCTGTTTTTTCATCTCCTCCCCTCCATTGTCCTTCCCATCAGCCCATCCTACCTGCCTCTCTCCCCCTCCTTCCCCCTCATCAGGTGGGCAGCCCCTGCAGGGCCAAGCCCAGATCTGATTCATCTCTGTGTCCCCAGGATCACCCATTCAGGGCTGAGCTCTCAGGAGGCCTCAAGGAGATGTTAATTAAATGAGTGAATGTCTTTCTCCATATTCTTTTCCTGGTAACCTCCTACTCATCCTTCAAGATTCAAACTAAATGCCCCCTCCTCCAGGAAGTCTTCTCTGATTTCTCAAGGAAGAATACATCTTTTCCTCCCCAATACACTCACAGTGGACTTCTCCACTTTCCGTTGCTGTAAGCCTGATTATCACTCTGGGTCTGGGCTCCCCTTGAATGTGTCACTGGGTATAGTGGTTTAGAGCATGGACTCTGGAACTGGACGACCTGGGTCCAAATCTCAATGCTGGCAATTATTAGGTGTGTGACCTTGGGCAAGTCAGTGAACCTCTCTCAGTTGGCCCGTCTATTAAGAAGTAATAATAATCCAGGTTGGGGATTGATTGAGTGAATTAACCCATATGAAGCACTTACAACAGTGCTTGGCACATGGTAGGCATTTAACCAACATAGTAAGATAGATAGTAAGTCTATCCATCTCCTATAAAGCCCTGCACTGCCCCCATTTTAATACACATTACTCATGGTTGTAGGGTGCTTTACTCTCTCTCCAGACAGGGATGGAAGACCACAGACTGAGACTGAAGAGACACTATGTGCGAAATGCCATACGAACGGCTTCTGATAACCTCCATAGCTACCTTTAAAAAAAAAAAAAAAAATTTACTTTTTTTTTTTTTAAGTAGACTCCACATCCAGCATGGAGCCCAATGCAGGGCTCAAACTCAGGACTCTGAGATCAAGACCTGAGCTGAAACCAAGAGTCAGGCGCCCAACTGACTGAGCCACCCAGGCGCCCCTTGATAGCTACCTTTATTGACCGTACTCTGTGCCTGGCAGGTAAGCATTTCATATATATATCCTCTCATTTAATTCTCACAAGAGTCTATTCAATCTTTTTTCCACAGAGGGGAAAACTGAGGTCGAGAGAGCATTCCAGTAATTTTCTCAAGGTCACAAAGTAAGTGACAGAAATACATTTCTTTCTCTACCCAGTACACTCCTGCTTATCTTTTAAACCCCATGCAAATGTCCCCTGATCTGAGATGACTTCCCTGACTCCTTCAGAAAGAGTCCATGGCCTCTCCTTAGGGCACCCTGTGCCTCCTTCTGATGCAGCACTGATCAATTTGTGTTGTTAATCCAATGATGTATTGAGTGGCTTCTGTGTGCCAGGCACTGTACCAGGTGCTTAAGAAAATCACAGTGAGGGGCGCCTGGGTGGCTCAGTCGTTGAGCGTCTGCCTTCGGCTCAGGTCATGGTCCCAGGGTCCTGGGATCGAGCCCTGCATCGGGCTCCCGGCTCCGCGGGAAGCCTGCTTCTCCCTCTCCCACTCCCCCTGCTTGTGTTCCCTCTCTCGCTGTGTCTCTCTCTGTCAAATAAATAAAATCTTAAAAAAAAAAAATCACAGTGAATAAATCAGAGTCCCTGCTTTCATGGACTGAGTCAGGAGAGAGAGGGGACAGACCATTATGCAGTAAACAAATAAACGAGGTCACTTCATCTCTAACAAGTGCTGCAAAAGAAATAAACCAAGCAATGGATTGTTGTCCTGGTGAGGGCAGGGGACCCCTTTAGCCAGGGCAATCCTGGAAGGCCTCTCTGAGGAGGTGACCTTTGAGTAGAAACCTGAATGACAAGAATGGAAGTCTTGCCTGTCTCCCTGACCTGACTAGCAGCTCCTTGAGGGTAGAGCTTGGGCTGATTCATCTCCAGGACCTAGAGTAGGACACAACTCAGTAAACACATGTAGCATGATGACTAAAGAAACAGGCGATGTGCCTTTAAAAATGAATCGAGTTCCTACCTTCTTTGCTTCTGAGTCTTGCATGACAAATTCAGCTGATATGTCTGATTGGCGTTTCCTGGGTGTGCTAATGGGGGCAGAGGAAGGGAGCTGGAGACTGTGTGCCAGTCTTCTGTGGGCTCTATGAGGGCAAGGACCTTGTGGTTTTGTGCCCAGCATCAAGCCTGCCATATAATAGGTGCTCAGTAAATTGGCGTTTTAAAGGGGAAACAAGAGCAATAAAAAATGGAACACTTCTGTTGTGCGTATGTTCAGCTGATGTTAAGTCTCCAGAGTCTAGGCTAAATGGAGGCACCCAAACATCCATCAGCTCTGCCTGGATTCTGTGTAGTATACCCCCCAGTGTAGGAATATTTGCACGGAGACACTTTCAGGGAGAGGAAAAAGAACGCTTCTCCTTCCAAATTTTCAGGATGAAATTTCCAAGCCAATTTTGGATAAGGTGGGGGATGGTGGTGGACTGGGGCTTATGGGGTTGGATCGGAGGAGAATGGAGATACGGTGGAGCTGGGACTGGAGCTTGTGGTTGGTGAGGGGATGGAGAGGGATCTAAACAAAAAATTTCCCCTAAATCTCAGAGGACTTCTTTACATGAGCCTAGCAACTAAGGTGGGGCGGTTTCCTCTGGTCTTAGAGGCTGAGGTGGATCTGGGGTGAGGTGCCTTGGGTTCCGGTGGCCCCAGGAGGGCAGAGAAGGGTCCAGATGACTCAGAGGTGGCCCAGCTCCTGCTGGGACAGGAGGAACTGGTGTTGGGTGGACCAAGACGTGGGGAACAGTGGGAGGGAGGAAGGAAGTGGTTAAGGGGTGCTTCATGGAACTTGAAAGGAGGGTGGGCAATGTGATTCTCCCATCAGCCCCGAGGGATGGGGATGCAGAGGATGGGGCGAGGGGGCTTGGGATTGGGGGCTACCCCTGTGCTTTTCTCCCCAGAACATGGAGTCACATACATTCATTCTAACCAGGACCTGTTCACAGATCATGACAACAGGTAACATTTAGTCAGGGCTCACCACCCCCTGCGTTAATGCTTTACTGATAATTACCATAGCAACCTATGCACTCGTATTATATGATCATCTCTTCACAATGCATCTGTGAGGTAGACACTTCATTGTCCCCATTTTCCAGATGAGGAAATAGAGGCCCAGAGAGGTTACTGAGCTTGCCTGAGGTCACACAGAAGGAAGTAGCAGAGGGAGGCAGGTTGAGTGAATGACAGCTTCTCTCGGACACAGCTTCCTTGCTTCTCCTGAATTAAACTTTGCCACCACTTTTAGCACTTCGGCTTCAAAGTGCGCCAGAGCAGTGGCAGGCAGGGGGAGTAAGGGAAGAGGAGAGATGTTAGGAGGTGTAGATGGGCGGCGGAGGTTCGAAAGGGGCAGGGGGAGGGTTCAGCCCCTGCACTGCGGAGGAAGGAGCAAGAGGGCAGCTGGTGGAGTGGCAGGATCTCTGGATCAGTTGGAGCGTATGGTTTTCTCTATCCAGGAGCTGTATTTGCAGATCTGGGTGTAGACAGCTGGATGCTGAGCAGAGCCGCAGGGGTAAACGCCCCATGAAAGGATGCCCTGCAGGGTCTCATCACAGACCAGAGGGCCACCAGAGTCACTCTGGGGGTGGGAGGAGGAGAGATCAAATAAATACATGGACCCACTTGGGGGTCTGGGATAGTGATAGCGAAGAGGTTTGGGCAGGGCTGGAGTTACGTTTGGGTAAAGATGAGCTTGGGGTGGGGTTGGAATTAAGTATGAGCTTGGGTTGGGTGGGACTGGCCTGGGGGTTGTGGACATCGGCCGGGGGGATGAGAATGGAAATGTGATGGCCCTGGCATCGTAGCCTGTGGCGGGTGAGGGGATGAAGACGGATGGAGAGGAGGGATGGGGTCGGGGTTTAGGACTGGCCTGAAGATGGGAATGCTGTTGAGGATGGGGTGGTAAGTGGGTAGGGCCAGGCACGAACAGGTGGAGAGTCACACACGGGGATGAAGATGGGGTAGGGACGGGAGAGTGTCGGACACAGGGGTGACACTGGGCTGGGGTTGGGGACAGGGACAGGGCCTTCTGATTTCTCATAACTTCCCTATCCTGGCTCCCATGAGTCAGAGACCCATCCCGGCCAGTCCCTACCTGGCAGGGGTCCTG